GAATCATTGATGACCCACAACAGCAAAAATATTTTAAATGTATGACATTAATACTGATAATCACACTGTTCAATATATGAATTCCATGTTTTATTTCACATGCCTTTATTCATATTTTTTCTTTATATTTTGATGCAGCAAACGTATAGTCACAGGAATTGGGACAAATCATATATTGCTGTGGGAGGTTGAAATTAGAACAGCCAGCTTTTATTTATATGATTTAAATGTTTAAAAAAAAACACGTGCGGATACAAAAAATGTGCAAGTTCAGCATATTTTGTAGAAAATTGCACACTTTCCTTGTAAATGCCCTTCCCCAGCAAAGTAATGGCCATGGTCCCCCTCGCTGCCAGCACTTTCATCTTCGCACAGTCTTTCTGGAGACTTCATCCATCTTGATTGGCCGGGCACAGAATATATATCCTCTATATGTATCCTCTATGTTGCATGACCGCGCAATTGTCTGTTAAAGTAATGCAGTGCCATATCGCAAAAAAATGGCCTGGTCAGGAAGGGGGGTAAATCCTCTGGAGGGCAAATGGTTAAAGGCAAATTTAAAGAAAACAGCAACAATGTCATAACTACCTGCTGTGTGCAGTGGTTCTGCACAGAGCATCCCCGATCCTCCTCTTCTCAGGTACCCCACCGGACCGAATAAAGAAAAACAGAGGGCGCACCGGCCTAGTGCATTACCTTAAAAATGTTTAATGAATGTAAATAATAAGTATTATACTCACAAATGATCATTAAATAAAAGGCACATCATAAAGGAACAGCTCTGTCCAATTCACACTGGGTGTCTATCTGTAGTGAGAACTCTGGACATTCAAAAGGTTGACGCGTTTCAAGGACTAGCCTCTTCCTCAGAGCCAAATGACTAGATGTCTGTCTCTCTCTTATATATGCTCACTAATGAATCCTCAATGGTTACATGGGGGCCGTTCTTCCAGCTCACAGGGGCGGGGAGTGATGTGATAAAAAATGCTGACATAATGAATGCAATGTGGCTAAAATGTATAAATATATGTAAAATATATGTATAAAACATCAAAATACATCAAAAGCAAATATCATTATCTGGATGGGTGAAAGCAATAATATAAATATATATTTTATAATACATTGTATATGGTGTGCATGAATAACCATGAAAGATACCAGTAATAGTATACCAATAATAGTATATATGCTCTATTTTTCAAATGTAATAGCACATCTCTTCTATAAGTGATAGGGTATCATAGTGCTGCAATATTAGTTATAGTAATAGTGGTGGTATTGATGCTAAAACTCAAGTATTGGGATGTTCATGTAAATGGATGGATGGATGTGATGAATGTACCGAGTCATAGAACCACTGAGCAGGGGAGTCACTGAGTGCAAGCTGTAAGCATGTATGACGTTAATACTTATAATTACACTGTTCAATATATGAATTCCATGTTTTATTTCACATTGCCTTTATTCATATTGTTTCTTCGTATTTTGATGCAGCAAACTTACAGTCACAGGGGTTGGGACAAATCATATATTGATGTGGGAGGTGGAGATTGGAACAGTCCAGCTTTTATTTATATGATTTAAATATTTAAAAAAACATGTGCTGAAACAAAAAATGTGCAAGTTCAGCATATTTTGTAGTAAATGGCACTTTCCTTGTAAATGCCCTTCTCCAGCAAACTAATGGCCATGGTCCCCTCGCTGCCAGCACTTTCATCTTCGCACAGTCTTTCTGGAGACTTCATCCATCTTGATTGGCCGGGCAGAGAAGATGTATCCTCTATCTCTATCCTCTATATTGCATGACCGCGCAATTGTCTGTTAACCTCCCTAGCGGTCTGAATATGTCAGTATTTCTGTTCTCAAAGCGGTACATTGTTTTCAATGGAAATATGTTGTTTTTTTATTGTAGGCCTGTAATTCTTAGGAATAACTCACTGAAATCTGTTTAAACAAGAGTCTAGTAGACATCCTTGGTGTAATAAAGTTTAATAAATTAAATCATAAATTTATAATATAATACAAAGTAATAATATAATAATAAATTAAATAATGTAATCAAACCAAACACACGGAACTCTGTCCAAACAATATTATATAGACACTGCATTTTGTTTTAGAAAACATCCCGGGTGTGGTAAATTTTGAAACACGGGACTGCACAAAGTCCGACATCGCAGTCAGGACAGTGGAACCTCGTTTCCTTGCGGATTTTTTTTTCCACTCTCATCTTGCCGAGAGCAACATACCACGCATATCCGTGTAGGTCCTGCCTTTTTTTGGGTTGGTGGAATGTGGTCCATAAAATTACATCCAGTCAGATGTTCCGGGTTGACAACTCCCACAGCACGTCATCCGATCCACCCACAGACACTGATGGTGTTTGATGCTTGAGGAAAATGGATTCCGCAACATTCCAGATAAAGTCCGCATGAACCACAGGCTTGTCACTGTTTTTGTGGAACACAATATAGACATTCCACAAGCACTGTTCTAGAAGATGCCAGAAAATCTTTTTATAGCATTTCCTCTGCTGCTTTCTCATCGCGGATTGAATGTTATAGCTTGGTCAGCTCTGTCGACACCTCCCATGGTGCTGTTGTAGTCAATGACAACCTGGGGCTTCTGGATGTTTTTTCCCACCTTTTTGTTTGTACCATCACTGTGGAGGCATTGTGAATGGTACTCATTAGGCACACATCCTCCTTGTCCCACCATCTAAGTGCAATCATTTTGCCTTTCTGGTTAAAGGCAAATTTAAAAAAACAACGTCATACATACCTTCTGTGTAAAGTGGTTCTGCACAGAGCATCCCCAATCCTCCTCTTCTCAGGTACCCCACCAGCGCACTTGTTCCCTCCCTTCTACCAAGTGCCCCCGAGCAAGCAGCTTGCTATGAGAGCACCCGAGCAGGCTCACCCATGAGCAGCTGCCTTGTGTGTGTCCAGTCATTCACAGGGCCGTGGCTCATCCCTGCCCCAACCCCTCCTCAATGGCTCACTGGTTGTGACTGACAGCAGCATGGGCCGAAGGCTCCCGCTGCTGTCTCAGCCAATGAGGAGGGAGAGTCCCAGAGAGCCTTGGCTCTCGTGCACATCACTGGATCACTGTGGGGTTCAAGTCATTATTTGGGGGGGCTGCTGCACACAGAAGATTTTTTAAAGGTTGAGCCTTTACACCCGCTTTAAAGCTGAACTCCAGGTATAAACTTTATTGCAGTTTTACAATAGTCTGGCTTGGTTTGTAAGTAAGCATATTTTATACCTGAGGGACCTCTGAGGAAGCTGCCAAGCACTGTAGTAGTTGGCACTCGAGAGATACAAAGCAGCATGTCCATACTGACAGGAGAGAAACCTGTGTTGTTTACACACAGATCCAGGGGGCGGACTGACCATCTGGAAACTTGGGCACTGCCCGAGGGCCCAGGGTCAGTAAGGGGGCCCCATGAGATGCCCCTGGTACCTTTTTCATAGGCTTTTTTTGAGTTTGGGCAAGGACACAGGGGCCCCCATGATCCCCTAATGCCCGGGGCCCCATGAGTTGTCAGTCCGCTCCTGCACAGATCTCTCCCCTCTCAGCTTTACCTGATGATCGGCCAGTGCCAAAAAGGAGCCAACAACTATTTGATAATAAATGGTTTCATATGATCATCATCCTTCATAAAAGAGCACTTTTGGTATGATCAGTCATATTCTCAATATCATGCTAAAATTTCACAATTTCTGCCAGGGTATGCAAACTTTTGAGCACAACTGTATATAATAATAAATAAAAACCCCAGTCGTGATCAAATACCACCAAATGAAATCTCTATTACTGTGAAAACAAAAATTATATACATTTTGTTCAGGTACAGTGTTGCATGACTGCGCAATTACCAGTTAAAGTAGCACAGTGCTGAATAGCAAAACAATGGCCTGGTTAAGGGGGTAAAACCCTCCGGAGCTGAAGTATATAAAAAACGGAAAAGTGAATATCAAATACTTATTGTAATTTTCCATTAGTAACGAACTCCATGTCAGCCTACCATTGGGTATGCCCTGCCCATACTCCCACCTGCAGGACCTTGCTCATAGATTTGGCTTTCTCTCCCCGGCCAGTATAACGTAGCTACATTTCTGCACCTGAGTGGGAATTTGTGCTGACATGGAGCTTATTAGGAGAGGAAAATTGTGGTAAGTATTTGATATTCATTTTTCTGTTTTCCTGACAGCTCCATGTCAGCCTGGTACTGGGAATTAACTAGCTAACCAGGGTAGGATAATGCAGAAACAAAACAGGGCTGGGAGAGCAAGTCAGATTTATGGGTTAAAGTGTTACTGAACCCAGGACCAGGGGCGGACTAACCATTCGGGCTATCGGGCACTGCTGGGGGTCTGTAAGGGGCCCCATGAGATGCCCCTAGGCTTTTTCATAGGCTTTTTTGGGTGTGGTTTGAGTGTGGGCAAGGACACAGTGGCCCCATGATCCCCTATTGCCCGAGGGCCCCATGAGTTGTCAGTCCGCCCCTGCCCAGGAACCTGCATTCACTATATCTGGTCTCCCACAGAACCCAGAACAAGGAAATGCAATTATTTTAGTCAACATAAACTGCTAAATACCTTTTTTTCAGCAGTTAGAGCAGTCTTGTGACTTCTACCACTGTCCAGCAAAGCACTGGTCAAAGCTTGGAGGAGGAGTTTTCATTCTCCCCTGACTGTCCTTTGAGGCTGTACTACCCCTGACTCTCTGTCTGGACAGTGCTGATTGGACCTGTGCTGATCACATGCATTCTCCCAAAGAAGAAAAAAACTTTTTAGCAATACACACCAAACTAAGCATGTGCAGCTTGTCCTCAAGGCTCTGTTCTATCAGCAGATGGATTGGGGAAAGTAGAAGAAGGGGAGGATCAGAAATGACAGGCTTTTTACACAATGTGGAGGATTAACCCCTTAGGTTTCACGGTGAGTATATAAGCATGCTTTACTACATATACAGACTGATTGTACAGTTGTGGGTTTATCAACACTTTAAATGAGAAGTACAGCCAAAGCTCTTTTGGCTGTACTTCTCCTGTAGATCACAGAAGTGCAGTTTGTTCTTCACTCATGTGACATGTTTTCAGCTGACAGCAGACTGAAGTCCATTGTCGGCTGACATCAGGGGCGGACTGACCATTTGGAAACTCGGCACTGCCCGAGGGCCCGGGGTCAGTAGGGGGCCCCATGAGATGCCCCTGGTACCTTTTTCATAGGCTTTTTTGAGTTTGGGCAAGGACACAGGGGCCCCATGATCCCCTATTGCCCGGGTGCTCCATGAGTTGTCAGTCCGCCCCTGAGTAGGGGGCCCCATGAGATGCCCCTGGTACCTTTTTCATAGGCTTTTTTGAGTTTGAGCAAGGACACAGGGGCCCCCATGATCCCCAATTGCCCGGGGGCCCCATGAGTTGTCAGTCCGCCCCTGGCTGACATCACTCAGCCAGTCCAGGCTGGGGAGAGATGCCAACTTTAAAGTCAGTATCCACCCCAGAGTCTGCGGGGGACCCGAGAAGAGGAGGATCCAGGCTGCCCTGTGCAAAACCACTGCACACAGCAGGTAAGTATAGACATGTTTGTTATTTTCCAAAAAAAAAAAAAAATGAACCTTTAACCTGGGTTCACACTGATGCAGTGCACAATTCGCAGAGGTTTCTGTGCAAATTCTGAACCACATCGCAATAGCACCCCATTTATGCGAACCGCTGTGGATGTGTATGTTAACAGTATCCCGGAAATCGGTTTGCAAAACAGGGTGCGATGTGCAGAATTAGATCGCATAGGTGTGAATACCCATGTGATCTGATGCTAGTGCAGACCAAAAAAAGGGTCCTGCACAGGGGCGAACTGACCATTTGGAAACCCGGGCACTGCCCGAGGGCCCCGCGTCAGTATGGGGCCCCATGAGATGCCCCTGGAACCTTTTTCATAGGCTTTTTTGAGTTTGGGCAAGGACACAGGGGCCCCATGATCCCCTATTGCCCGGGGGCCCCATGAGTTGTCAGTCCGCCCCTGGTCCTGCACCTTTTTGGTGTGGATGCGGTGCAATTTGAGCCATACAAGATGTATGGCTCAAATCGCACCGCACAGAATTGGCATGTGATTTGCACCGGAATGCTGTGTGGTCACATGCAATATGCCGCACCGCAGAAGTGTGAACCTATACTTAGAATGGCTGCTTGGGGTATGGGCGGGGCATACCCAGTGGTAGGCTGACATAGAGCTGTCAGGAAATATCCATACCTAGAATGTTTCTTGTCCATGTGACAACCCTGCAGTAATTTTCCTGCAGAAAGAAGAGTGTTGTCACCCTGTTAAATGAACGGTGGCCAAGAGGTAATAAATGTAGGCTGGGGGGAGGCCACTCTTGATCCTAGATGTCATGGCTGTGATAGAGATGGAAGGATGAGGGTAAGGGCCACATTCCATGTGAAGAATGGAGACCAGGCTCGGTCAGATGCTGTCACCTGACGTCAAGTGTGCTGAGATGGATGCTGAGATCCTCCTCCTCCTCCTCCAGCACTCCCCGTTTCCACGCCTGTGGGGCTGGAGATAGCGGAGGCTTGCAGGTACGGTATTGGTAGCCGCTATGAAGGGTCCACCTTCAGGTGAGAGATGCTCCTCAGTGGGGGAGTCGGGGGAAGATGACCGATGCTAGCCAGGGGAGAGCTCTGCAGCATTGGACGGTCGGCTCTCCGGGGATGGCCGACCACCCGTGTGCCAATGGCAGCACCAACTGCTCGTCCGGCTCGTTCTCGGCTCTGGAGGCGGCGGCGGACTCCATCCCCCGGTACATCGGGCTCTTCTTCATGCTGCTGCTGGACCTGGGCGCCGTGCTGGGGAACGTGGCGGTGGCCGCCGTCATCCTGAAGACGCCGCAGCTCCGGAAATTCCTCTTCGTCGTCCACCTGTGTATTATAGACACCTTGGCTGCCATGACGGTGATGCCGTTGGGGATGGTGGCCAGCTCCGGGAAGGTGATGTTCGGGGACCTTGTGCCAAGCCTACATCTCCTTGGAGGTTTGCTTCAGCAGCGCCTCCATCCTCACCGTGTCTGCCATCAACATCGAACGCTATTATTACATCGTCCACCCCATGAGATACGAAGTCAAGATGACCTTGGGTCTGGCCATCTCCGTCCTCATCTTCATCTGGCTCCAGGCGTCCTTGACTTCCACCGTGCCCTTCCTACCGTCGGCCAGCACCGGCTCCAACAATGCCAGCCTGGTCAATGCCACCCGCTGTTCCCTGCAGAGGAATGCTGGAGGACACAAGAAAGTCTTCATCACCTTCTTTGTCTTGGTCTATTTTGTGTTGCCTCTGGTCATCATAGTGACAGTCTACTGCAATGTCTTCAAGGTGGCCCGGATAGCTGCCATGCAGCATGGACCTCTACCTTCCTGGGCAGCAAGTCCACGCCAGAGGTCCAATTCCACTGGCAGTAGAACCAACATCATGCCAGGGGACAGGTCCCATAGAGGCTCCCCAGACAGGACGTTGGGGGGAGCAAAAGCAGCCTTCACCCTCATGATCATAGGTGGCCAGTTTGTCATGTGCTGGTTTCCTTACTTTGTCTATCATGTCCAAAACGCCCTGGAGAACAACTCCTACAAAGCATCTGGAACCAAGTGGGAGAACATTGTCAAGTGGCTTGCCTACACCTCCTTTACCATCAATCCTTTCTTTTATGGTTGTCTGAACAGGCAGATCCGAACTGAACTTGCCAGGATCCCCAAATGTTTCTTAAAACAGTCTTTGGATGAGCAGCTAGGCCTCTCCAGCCATGAAGGGTCTGTAGAGGAGAACTTTCTTCAGTTCCTTCAAAGAACTAGCTGTGTGGTGGACAGAAGAAACAGCTTCCCCACATCTACTGCCTCCAGGCTGCTTGTCAATCAAAGTACTTTGAGTTTTAGAATCCCAGGGCAAATTTTGGAAGAAAACCCCAGAGCTGATGGAACAGGATTCCGCGGAAGGTTTCAGAAGTCTACAGATGTGTACAAAGCAAGGAAACAGCCTGGGGCCAACAAAGTGAAGTTACCTTTTTTTGGTGACTTTTTTTATGGGTTGATTGATAACTTGACCAAATGTGTCCCATGATGAAACAAAAAGGCTTATTCATTGGCTTAAAGTGCAGTGGACAAAGTGCACCATCCAGAGTACTGGGCAAGTTAACAGCCTAGGGGTGACAAAGTTAACCCACTTTCTTGGTGACTTTTTATATTTAGGGTTAATTGACCATTTGATCAAATGTGTCCTGTGTGGAAACAAATAGTCTTACTCATAAAGAGAAGTGGGCAAAGTGTAGCATTTACAGTACCAAGCAAGGAAATAGCTTAGGGCTGATAAAGTGAACCCACCTTCTTGGTGACTTTTTTAGAGTTGGTTGATCATTAGTATCAAACGTGTCCCATGTGGAAAGAAACAGGCCTATGTGCAGCATCCACAGTACCAGGCAAGGAGACAAACCAGGGCCAACAAAGTGACCCACCTTCTTGATTACTTTTTATATTTAGGGTTGATTGATGACTTGACGAAATGTGATCCATGTGGAAACAACCAGACTTACTGACATAAAGAGCATCCACAGTACCTAACCAAAATTCATCTTTCACAATGTTACTGCAGCAAACTGACATTGCTTGGTTGCTATAGGTGACTGCACTTTAAATCATTGTTACTTTTTGCAGTACATTTTGATAAAGTGGTATTAAAACAAAAATGTAATATATTGCACTTTACCAATCCTTAAATATGGTGGCTGTCTTAGTTTTTTAGGCTTGTTTACTTGTACCACCCTTGCGGTCTTAGGGTGTCTCCACTCTGGATTGAGGAGCAATGGAGACACCTTTGGACATCAGCATTGTCAGTCTGGGGAAAGGGTAGTATTGGGTAGTAGTGGCAGATTTAGGTCTCATACACATTGGATGTTTTTGCTATCTCTCCTAGACGCCTTTCTTCCTGGCAGCGTAGTAGAAAAGCGCTTGGGTGTTAATTTCCTTGGCCAGAATAATAATTTATTATGACCACTAAAATGAATTAATGCCCAAGCGCTAAACGCATCTAGCGTTAACACGTGTTTACATGTGCCAAGTGTTTTTTTTTTTTTTTTACAAAACTCAGCAGCTCCTGGATGCACTGGATCCTGGAGGCAGCGGATTGTTGTTTTACTGCCCCTAAACTCCTTCAAATGCTTATGTGTGCATGGACACATAGGCTAACATGCAGGGGTGTTTAGAGACAGAAAAAGAACATCAGACGCCCCTAAGAGCAGTGTCAAAAACATCCAGTGTGTATGAGGCCTTACCCTAGGTTCACACCTAAGCGTTTTGCGTTTTTCAGAAATGCATTACAGTCCATTTAACATGATTTCCTATGGGACAGGTTCACATCAATGCGTTTTCACCCCGTGTGTTTTTTGGAAATGGTCAGGGACTTTTTTAAATGCAAAAGGTTGCGTTTTTGGTTCTGTAGACTTCAGTGGAAATACTGCAGAAAAGCATGTAGTGTGTTTTTGCTGCATTTTTGCCACGTTTTTGATGTGTTTTGCGTTTTAAATCTGTCTAGCAACAAGAAAAAATGTAAAACGCATTAAAAACGCATGTGCAAAAACGCACTGCAGAAATGAACCAAAGGCAAATTGCATAGGTGTGAACCTAGCCTTAGAGGACCTTGAGTAATAATTAGAAGCTGAACTCCAGCTAACACTTTAGGCTCCACTAGTTTTTTTTTTAAGCTCAAAAAAAGCTGGATATTAGTACATTTTAGTACTGTTTTAGTAGTGTTCAGAAGCGATTAGGAACATTAGCATTTTATTATCATTTTTACAGTATATGTAGAAGCTATAAAAAAGCTGTTAGGAGCATTTTAGTAGGGTTTACCAGAGTTTAGCATTTTTCTGCTAGAAAAACGCTTCAAAAAACCTCTACAAAAACAATTATTTTTTTGCTCCTAGTCGCTGAAGCCCAGAAAATGCTGCTAGCCTAACATAGTGTGCATGGACATATAGAATAACACTCTTTATCTTCTAGGAGTAGAAACAATGCTAATAACAGCTTCTCTGAGCTTAAAAAACACTAGTGTGCATGGAGCCTTATGCTGGCCATAGACGGTTCGTTTATCGACCGATTTTTTGTCCGAAAAATTAAACATTGTTCATTCTGTAAAACCGATGTTGCCACCAATGATTGCGAAAATCTGCCTTTTTTCACGAATTTTCCAGCATGACCGATAAACGAAATAAGGAGGAACTGTGAAAATCGTTCGATGCCATTGCCCCACTAACAGTGCAAAAATCTGCCGATTAATCTCTCGGATGAAAAACCGGCCGATAAACGAACTGTCTATGGCCTGCATTAGGCTTCATGTACACAAGCCTACCCTGACCGCCAGCTGTGGGAAAATACAAATCGCGGCAACTGTGGTACAGCGTTTTGCATTTTCCCACAGTCAGCGGTCAAAATGTTCCTATTCTGAATGCGATTTTTTCGCTTTCAGGAGAGGGAGGTTTAACCTCACCGAAATGCGGCAGCACCTAAACTCTGCTAAAAGCCTATGTGTACATGGACACAGGCTTTTATGGAGTTGAGTTTAGGAGCTTTGGCAAAAAAATGCCAAAAGCCCTTAAACTCGAGTTTAGGAGCTGCTCGTGTACTTGAGCCCTTAACAGGGGCGGACTGACAACTCATGGGGCCCCCAGGCAATAGGGGATCATGGGGCCCCTGTGTCCCAAACTCAAAAAAGCCTATGAAAAAGGTACCAGGGGAATCTCATGGGGCCCCCTACTGACCCAGGGCCCTCGGGCAGTGCCCGAGTTTCCAAATGGTCAGTCCGCCCCTGGCCCTTAAACAGTTACAGCAACTTTTTTTTTCACTTATGGGATAAAGGTTTTACATAAATGAATAAAAGCTGACCATTGTAAGCACCCCTGTCAGTTGTAAATGTTTTTTCTCAAACCTGTAATTGCCACTTTGTCTGGACAGCTTTGTCTGTTAAAGAAAGTTGAAAAAAAAAAAAACGGATGCACTGGTTGGACTGACAGGTGAAAATAAAGGAAAAAAAAACATTAAAAAAGAAAACTAACACAGCCACCACATCTAAGAACTGGGAAGCTGCAATATAATACATTTATGTTTTTAGGTGTATTACCATTTTAATGACTGAGCCTAACAGTGTTAAAGAGGGGCTTAGTCATCCTATATCTATAGGGAAATCTCATGGTATTACAGTCTGTTTACTATCAAGGCACAAGCACTTTTATAGCAAGGATGGGACTGCTGGGAAAACGAACAGCCTCATAGCATGGAGGCAGGTGTAGGCTCATTTATGTCGTAAAAGTTTTCTTTTAGATCTATGATCTAACAAAAAAAAAATTACTTTTAGCTAGGGAATGCGATTGTCCTGATTTCCAAATCTGTATTCAGAATCCTCTGATTGTTATGTTTTGCGTGTTAATATTAAGGATTTACCAGATTTTACACAGACAATATGAAACACCTTTGTGCAATTGTGAAATGCATATGAGCAGATATGCTCTTTTGCATGCTTTTAATAGATATGAAGCACAACATAGCAATAAAGAAAATTGCAAACTTAACTGTTGTGTTGTTATTATGTTTCAAGTTGGAAATATTATACAGTACTTGATACTTTGACAAACCTAAAATATTTTGATCTTATACCTCTTCAATTATTACTACTTACTTGTATGAATAGCTACACAATATCAAAAAAAGACATGATGGATCCCCTCCAATTTACAGTAACATATTAGGCAGTAGTTCAGCAAGATACCCAATTACTATACATATTATACATATATCTAAGCAGAGTTCTGAGGCTGCAACACATATTGCAGGAATATCTTGATATATATATATATATATATATATATATATATATTTCACACTCACCGGCCACTTTATTACCCAGTACACCTTGCTAGTGCCAAGAAAAATATCCCCCATACTATACTTCTTCAAACTATTATTACTTAGTTGTATGAATAGCTACACATAGCTACACAATATCAAATAAAGATATCATGAATCTCCTCTAATTTACAGTAATATATTAGGCTGGCCATACATTATACAATTTTCTTGATAATTTTTCTTTATATTTACCAAAAACCATATAAATATGAGGTCAAACCTAAATGACACTTGCAATTGTATCCAGTTATGCAGGCCCTTGCGCTACATAGTTGAAGGTAAATATAAAAGGAAATTGGACAGAAAACTGTATAGTGTATGGTCAGCCTTAGGCAGGAGTTCAGCAGGATACACAATTACTATACATATTACACATATATCTAAGCAGAAGAGTTCTGAGGCTGCAACAGATATTGCAACAATATCTTATTTGAGATATATATATATATATATATATACACTCACCGGCCACTTTATTACCCAGTACACCTTGCTAGTGCCAAGAAAATATCCCCCATACCATTACACCACCTCCACCAGCCTGGACTGTTGATACAAGGCAGGATGGATCCGTGCTTTCATGTTGTTTACACCAAATTCTGATCCTGAATGTCACAGCTGAAATTGAATGTCCATTCCCCTTTGACCTCTGACATCAACAAGGAATTTTTGTCCACACAAATGTTGCTCACTGGATATTTTCTCTTTTTCAGACCATTCTCTGCAAACCCTAGAGATGGTCGTGCATGAAAATTCCAGTAGATCAAGCTGTTTTTGAAATACTCAGACCAGCCTGTTTGACACCAACAACCATGCCACATTCAAAGTCACTTAAATTCCCTTTCTTCCCCATTCTGATGCTTGGTTTGAACTTTAGCAAGCCGTCTTCACCACATGTAGATGCCTAAATGCATTGAGTTGCTGCCATGTGATTGTCTGATTACCAATTTGTGTTACCAAGCAATTAAACAGGTGTACCTGATAAAGTGAGTATATACAGTGCATCCAGAAAGTATTCACAGTGCTTAACTTTTGTCGCATTTTGTTATGTTACAGCCTTATTCCAAAATGGATTACATTAATTTTTCCCTCATTCTACAAACAATACCACATAATCACAACGTGAAAGAAGTTTGTTTTGAAATCTTTGCAATTTATTAAAAATAA